AAGTACTCCCTCAACATGTTCAGCAACTTCAGGAAGAACACATGTAGGGCGCACAGGATAGCCCTAAACACCTGAAGAAGGGGCAGCGGTAAAAAACAGCTCACCAGAGGAATCTGGGAAGGATCATGAGACTATTAATAGGCAACTGCCCCATCATAGTGCAGGAGGCCAGGCAGCCCGCAGCACCAGCGGGTGATGCTCCCTTTGCCGGCAGAGAAGAGGTGTAGATACTTCACAAGCACAGCACAATTGCCTAAGCAGCAGAGCCTACCACTCTCTCATGTTGAGCCTCAGGGCCTTTCCTATGTCCTTGCCAACTTTCCCAGGCTCCTGTGTAAGCTTCTGCCCTCTGCTTGACTTCTCAGACCTTCAGGAGAAGACAGACAGCACTGAGGGCCAGGCTGCGCAGACACAATATGCCCAAAAGATGGAGATATTGCTCCCTAAGTCATGCCACAGAGTGGTAGAAGTACCATCACCCAGACTGCTGGAAGAGGTGTTAATCTAGCTTTAGGACACCAAAGGCCCAGTCAAGCCTGATGCAGCACCGTTCAGCAGAAAGAACAGGGCACAGGTTTATCACAGCCTCTTGTAGAGAAAAGAGCAAAAAAAGATTAGATTAGAGTTCATTATACAAGAAGACAACTAAGATCAGACAAAGCAGGGCAAATCTGAAGAGGCAGATGGAGAGGTCAGGAGCCTATACAGGGCGGTGTCTACTAAGAAATTAGCTTCCACCAGCATCATCCAAAAAAACCCCCATGGACTAGGCTAAGACCACAACCAAACATCTGCACTGGGGCCCGAGAAGCTGGAGAACGTCACAACAGATGACTGCTGTATTCGTGGCACAACTCTAATAGCAGAAGAGTTAGAAAGACAGTAATTTCTAGGTATCAACGTAAACATTTACAAGTCCCAACACTGGTATTTTCATCTTCCCGGAAGAAAGCACACACAGTCCAGTTTTGGAGCTCAAGAATTGTTCAGCATACCCGCAGAGGGGATCAGCAAACTTCTCCAAATACTCAAGCAGTACTTCAGGACATCTCTGGGATACAGACAAGCTCTGCTACATGCTCAGGATTAAACTGGTCCCACAGAAATGCTACAAGTAGACTGCACCAGCTGTACATTGATTTGAAAGTCTGAAGGAAGACCTCCTCTGCAGGGTTTTGGAAGTAGGAGCATGGAAAAAGATGCGAGTGGGTCACAGGGTACGTTATGGCTCCCACTGCTCCTCAAAGTGGTGTCATGCAGTGGCATACATCACAGGGACCATGCTTGCAGAATAAGTCACCATCCCCTCCCAGCTGATGCTTACCCTCCCACAGCTTTGCTGTTCTTCATCTACTCTACATTCACCCGATTTAAAGCTCTGGTGGAAAAATTTGCTCTTACTCCATTTCCAGTTTCTGCTTACCTTATTTGCCAAGCCAAAGGCGGGGTAAGTGAGATAGGTCAGTGGTTAAGTCCAACTGCTATGTCAGGAGCAGCAATTCTGACCGGAGGGCTTGGTGCGGCAGAAGCATGACTAAAAACTTCGCTTTGTGGAAGGTGAGGATAGGAGTCAGAAATCTGGGAAGCGGTAACTGCACTTTGACAGTGCTTAAGCATCTGGACAGTATAGGAAATGTGGAGATCATCAAGGACACCTGTGCTCTTAGTACTTCAGCTGTTTAAAGCAGCAGGATTAGATATAAATACCAAAAGGCGGTGTGAACACAGAAGCTGAGATGACACACAAAAACATTTAACCACCTAAAATACAGAGTAGGCATCGAAGGGTATCAGATGACTCCCCCTCCACCCCAAATTGTGTCAGAATATCAGTCTGAAGCAAAAGACTTCCCAAGTTTGACTCTGTGGGCAAAACATGCACCTACTCTCCCACTGGTGCAAAACAGCAGAGAAGGAAGGGAAGACACTGAGCACTGGCCCTTCTTTTCTGCTCACAGAAACAAGAAAGGCAAGATCTAGCTGAAATAATGAGTGCTTCCTAGAGGCTCACGTCTCTTGATTTGAAGACACCCGGGAAAGTTGAGGGAACAAGTCATTTGGAATAATAAGCAACGTCCAAATTCCACATATGAGATAGGAGATCAGGTTGGATGATAAAGTGCTCAACATAGCTTTTTCCAGAAGAAATGCGCATGCATATATTAAAATACAGTAAGTGTCCCCAAGCTGATGGTCCGAGACCACTTTGAAAAAACCCAGCAGCATAAACAAAGAAGTGTCCATAAGCAAAATACCTTCAATCATTCCCTCTGCAAAACCTCGAAACTGGCAAAAGATGGGCTTTACAATGTTTGGTTAAAAAAACCTGCATTCTGCTGCACTTGAAGCAGTACTGTACATCGGAATCACTTTTAACTGCTAATCATTGCTGCTGTAACTCTCGCAAGGTGCAGATTTTGCTACTGGAAATGTACTCTCTCTCAAGGACTCCAAATTCTAGTTGTAAATGTGTCTTATATATAAGATATTAGCAATGGCATGTTTGTAGCCTATTGGCATGCACCTCTCAAGAGTAAGAGGGGTCATATTCCACATCCAAATCCTGTCTCCAGGTTACTAATGGCTGGGAAGCAAAGGCTTCTCGTGTCCTATGTAGCCTCCAGTGTATTTTTCCTCTCTAACAGATTACCCTTTTAATTCATAGACAGTTTCTGCCTTATTCTCTTAACAAGCCCCACACACTTCTGTCCAAAACACACCCTGAGTGCTGGCTCAGCTCTGTAACAGCAGGGTGGTTGAAGGCATTTTATGGAACAAGCAGAGAGCCATGATTATAGGTCTTTATTCTCATATTAATAAAAAGTGCAAAAGCAGATGCCAATGACCACAATCTGGCACCATGATTTCTGGAGCCTCCTGGCCATAAACACAGGAAAAGGTTCAATTTTGACCACATGGATGTCCCATATTCAGAGTAGAAAAGGCATTGTCATCTCCAGACTAGTGGTCCCATGAATTTTACTAGCTTGGTGGCTTCACGGCATCAGCACCACAGACACTACATGATCTCTGACCTGGGCGCAGCACTATGTTGGATGGTGGTGTACTCCCACTCCTGTGTTCCCATGGCATGGATAACATGAGTCCCGGTTTAAATTACATAGCAGGAAAGGGGTTAAAGTTTAAATGACTGTTTTGTATATGAATTAATGTATGTAGCTTTGAGCCAAAATATCTACCATTAATTTTTCCACCTATTTCAGGAGCAGTAAGATACACAAAGTAAAGTTTATTTTGGTACTTGGTATACTTCACTCTCATTAAAAATAAATTAATCAGCAAATTCCTACACAGCTCAGCCTTCTTTTATGTAAATACAAGCCAGCTGTAATGAATTACAAGGTGTTATTATCTCACACACACTGTATAATACTTCACACATAAGAGGTTTCTCTGCTTAGCTCAGCTTTCAACAAAAGCATCTTAAATAAACTGCAAGCAAGTTGTTTGGTCTGTAATGTTTTCACAGAGAAGGGATACACCTCACACATAGAGGGTTTCTTTACATGACTCATTTTATAACAAGTTAAACTGAGGAAGTTCGCCTTGGAAAAAAAATAACAAAATGCCTTTTTTATACACAGAAGGCTCCCTAAGAGAAGATTTAAAAAAAAAAAAAAATGCAAGCCAGTGTTTGGGAGCCTATATTCTGCATCCCACTGATCTTTACACAGAAAAGGGATGTCAAATATTCCCCAAAATACACAATATGAAGAAAGAAACTTCAGAAGAACAGTCACAGCCAGGCACAGTCACACTTTCACCAGATTAAGGGTTCACAAATTAAGGATTATCACCTTTGACTTCTGTTTAATAGTTTTATTAGGAATAAGTCCTGATATTATAGGGCTTATTCTTATCAAAAGCGCACATGGCACAGAAAACACATACACATCAATTTTACCCAGACTGACATTTATTATTGACTAGGATTTTAGACAGGAGAGAAATTAAAACTGTTTTTGTCACTGACCTGGAAACAGCCTTGTGAACCATCCACCTACGCAGTACACCTTAGCCTCTACTGATTTAATCAGTGAGGTCTTGCTCCCGTAATTACTATGTTGGTGTAATTTGCCTGCACAGCCATAAAAAGTTCTCACTGGGGTTGACAGGTCTTGTTAAAAAGCCCTGGACCACTGCTTCGGGGGATGGAGGATAGCATAGTCCTGGCCCATTAAGAGCCATGGATAGAAACAGGGATGTTCTTTTCATAAAGAAATTCATAGACCACAACTCTAAGAAGAATATGGAATTATCAGCAAGGCAGACTGAGTACCAAGACCAAGTACTCTGAGGCAGCTTTTAGCGACAGCCCAGCCACGTTTTGGACTTTATTGTCATTAAAATGGCTAGAGTCACAGAGGATTACTGGGGACTGTGCATTATTCTTTGCATCCTCCTATCCTTGTGCAACAGAGCAGAAAGTTCCTAAAAAGGATTTTCACAGAAAACCCTTCTGAATTTGTTAAAGCAATTCTTAACTCCACTAAAGCAAAAATGGACCATTCCATCTTGATATCAGGCTTTTAAAATACATTAACATCTAATATGCAAAGCTCAGATTTCCATTCACAACCATTCAGTGAGCAGAGGAACACCATTGTGTCTATATGTAGCAGCTCTCCAAACGAGGCAAAGAACAGAAATGTCTTCTTGAGATCATGGTAGTCACGGTAAAATATCTGGTTTCCCTAAAGACAGAAGGTAGGTCTTCCAATTTGTCAGCAAGGACCACTCAGTGCCATAAAAAGGACAGAGGTTCTCAAACCAACTAGCATTTATTTGCGGGTGAATATTCAGAAGAGTATGGCTGTCCAATTTGCTACTGAGTCACCATGGATAGGATATCTAATTAAATATTTTCTTTTCAACAGCAGATTTTCCCTCCTGACCCCACAGCCTCAGCCCAGTTCAATTTCAGGCATGCTTCCCAAGCTGATCTGACAAATTGATAGAAATCTCAGGCGCTGGCACTCTCAGAGTCCTTCGTCATTGTAAACAGGGGAAAGGGGCTTGAGGATGCTGTGGGCGTTGCTCTCCACAAGCGGCCGCCAGCTCACCTCGCCCGTCAGCAGCAGGTCCTCCCCACTCATCGTGTCCAGGTGCTGCACCTGCAAGGACAGGACATTAGTGCAAGGTGTCCCATCACCCATTCAAGTTCCTCAAGGGCTATGCAAACATGCCGATTTCCAGAAAGAAAGCAGAACAGGGAGATTTTACCATACTTTGCCATTTGTGTGAGGTAGACCTAAAAAGATAATTTACGACTGCTTAAGCATCATGGAAAGGCTAGGAGATAAGTATCTGCAGATCCACTGGAGTTAACTGCGTAAGGTCTTCTACTAACACTCTAGCTAATGCTTCCTCTGAAAAGTTTGGCAACAGGACAAAGAAGAGCCACGCAAAGCTACCGTGAGTCATTTTATCTTCCTGGCAGTTAATTCAGATGACACACTGCTAGTACCATCATCTACATGGAGTTCTCTCATAAAAATGGTTTCACATAGACCAAGGCTTTTCACTATAGAAAAGAAGCCTGACCAGCAGGGAACACCTGAGGTTTATAATACAAAAGCACACGAGCTGGAGGAGGTGAACATGGAATGAACACTCATTCTCACAATACAAGAAATACTTGGAATCACATGAAATTTTAAGGTGCAATGTAAGCAAAATAAAAAAAAACCCACAGCAAACAGATTAAAAAATTCATCACACAACATAGGGTTAACTTGCTGCCACAGCCCACTGTAAACATGGGGCGGGGGAAGAAAAAAGTCCATCAAGGGTCAGTAAAAGACAAAAACACCAGCTCTGGCTCAGGAAGTCTGTGAATGCAGATTGCTAGGAGAGCTGCCCAGGGAAATACTACACATGCTTGCCCTGTTACTATATTATTCTCTGGCATCCACTAATAGCCACTGTTAAAGACAGGATCAGCAAGAAATTGTGGGAAAGATCTCATATACAATGCTTACTGGAAACAAAAGATAATTTGACAAGGAGTTTCTCAACAGAGGAAAGAATACACAATGGCCACAGAGAGTCAGACCGAAGAGCCACCTAAGCGCAATATCCTGTTTCTGACAGTCATCAACAGCAGATTCCCCAGGAGGAGTTAAGTACAACGTATACATACAACGTTATTTTCCTTGTTTATTTTCCCTCCCTCTCAAAATTTGTTAGTTCAGGGATTTTGAGCCTGAAGTGGTTGTTGTGGATTTAATAGCCCCGGACAGACTTCTCTTCCATAAACCTTGCCAGTGGCTTTGGAACCCATGTGCAATTGGAGCATCCCATATAACCTGTGGCAACATTATGTCCCCACGTTCTTGTATCAGTGAACAGCCTTTCCTTCCTCACCTTTCACATGCCTTCAAGATTTCCCAGAGCTGTCTCATGTTCTTTCTCAGCTGTTTTTCAGGCAGGGGATCCTACTCATTGCTAATAAAGGAGCTGTTTCCTGTCATCCTCACCACTCTTCTTGAGCCTTCTTCAGTTCAGTTTTATCCTTCTTAATGGTTGGAACCCAAACCATACACATTATTCAAGAACACAAGGGTACCATGGATTTAAAAAGTGGCAGAACAACACTATTTTATTCTCTATTCCTTCCTTAGTAGTTCTGAGCATTTGTTTTACTTTTTTTAAACACTACAGAGTGCTGAGCTGACATTTTGATAATACAATTATAACCTCAAGGATTCATTCCTGTGTGGTAACAGACAGTTTAGCGCTCATCAATATATATGTAAAGCTCGGACTGTTTTTCTCAAGTGCACCACTTTAGAATCGTCTACAGGAATGACCTGTCTTCATAGAAGCTGTGCTGATTCTTCCCCAATGTGCCACATTGATCTGTGTGATCACTGTTTCCTATTCAACTGCTGACAGCTTCTGTCCTATCCCTTACTTGAATATACAGGAGTGCAACCAGTTCCCCACTTGGCAGCATATTCTCCCAAATTACATACTTTTTTAATGTGTTTGCTCCCTGCCAGTCTTCAGTTTTAAACTTTCCTACAGCCTCACTGATGTTAAGCATCAACAACCTTAAGCATTAAATTAAGTCTGTCCCTGCTGAGAAGCCCTCTAGCATTCCAAAAGTGTCCTCAGTCCCTTACAAGGTTCAGCCCTTTACTTCCCATACTATTTTCTCAGACACAAACCAAAATACTGTCTCTCCAAAACTCTATCTGGTCCTGAATATAGTACTGAAAACATTACAGAGAATGCTGCTGTGGAGGTTCTGGTCTTCAATTCCCTGTCCAATAGCCTACACTCTTCCTCCAGAACTTCTCTCACCGCTTTTCTGTCTTTGGTACCCACCTGGACTATATCCTACCAAGATTTCCCAGAAACCTGGTTTACAAACCTCCTAAGGGTTGAGATGACAAACACTACTTAATATTGTTTCCTCCAGGTAATAACTGAAAGAAACAGGAATAATTCTGGAAAACAAAACCTTTTACTTCTTTCCCACAAAGATCATCAGCAGACTTTCAAGCTCTGCGTGCTATTTCATTATGAAGAGGATCCCAACTCTGCAACATCAATTGTAATTCTACAACAAGTTGCAGCCTGTTTCTGACACATTTTGTCAAACCCCTCCATAGCACAGGTCCAGAAAAAATGAGCAGGATTGCTTTCAATATTCCGTGAATTTCTCTGCAGCCATTTTTCATCAAACTGCAATAAATATCAGCCATTTTTTTAAGGAGAAAAAGGTAAAAATATAAAATAGTCACTGAAAATAAAAATCAATTATATTTATGAGGAGAACTGAGCTACACAGTATGCAAGGAATAAAAATAAATATTTAATATTCTAAACAAGAGAATGAAGACAAGTCATGCTATGAGCTGTAGTGTACCTGTTTGCGCACATATTCTACGAGTAACTCCAGATGCCGAGGGTCCTCACAGTTCCTGTTAAAAAGGTTTCTCCAAAGAGCTGCTGCCAGAACATGATCATCAGACAAGATTCCCTAAATGAAGTACAGAGGGGGATTAAAAACTGCACACGAAGAGGGTCTGAAGACAAGACAACAACATTACTCTACTTGGCAACTGACAATATTAGCTGTCTCAAAGCCCACGGCTGCTACGGACTGTACATATGAAAAGGCATCAACATCACTCT